TTCCTAATAGTCTATAGCAAGGAGCAGGATGACATTAGTAACTTATTAAAACTATACCTGTGACCTTGATCTTAGATCCAGGTGCTGTGACTTCCAAAAGGTGATTTTTACAACATAAGAAATGAAGTGGAGTTCCAGGATAATGTGACTGGAGGACATAAGGCACAGAGAACCTCGGGGGGCCTCGCCTCAGAAGGCAGATACCATCACCACTCAACTGAGCCTGGCTTCTCCAGCACTTGAGGAACTCTAGAAGCAGTGCTGACTCAGCAGCCCCAGGGTGGTATGATCTGGTCATATTGGCTGACATAGCAAGACTGCTCAGATAGGCCACCAGCTGACAACACCCAGACAGAATTGGGGACAATGAGCAGAGGGGATTTCAGGGTCCTCTAGTTCCATGGTGCTCACTGTGTGGCTGGCAGGCCTATTCTATTCCTTCCTTCCCTGTCTTTATACCTGCCTTCCTCAGGTGGACAGGGCAGACCAGTGTCATGCTCCTGGCCACAGGCAAGGAGGGCAGTAAATGGAAGAAGCCTATAAATTCTATGGCTTCGTTTTCCACAAGACTGAGTCCTTGAGGGTTTCTGGGTATGAGTACAGTATTTTGGCCAGAAGTAAGGGGACAAGGAAGAAATGGCCCCTGGTTGGGGCCAGGCCAGGGGAGAACATGAGGTTCTGAGGGGCCTGAGCCCCTAGCAGAGTGCCAGGCCACCAGCATGTCTCCAGAGACGAAATGAGAGCTCTGCAGGTCTCTGTCTGTCCTCTGCACACAGTCTTAGAAACTCAGAGCCGCTCGGAGAGAGGCGCCTCTCAGGGTGAAGGGCGTGGCCTGAACATCTTGGGGGTGACCCTGGTGGGGAACCACATGCACCTCTGCACAAGCACTCGCCCTGACCCAGACTCTGGCACCACAAAAACCCACCACCGCTGCTGCTCAATGGTGGGGAGGGGCACCAAGAAGGACTGAGATGTAGTGTTCCACTGTGCCAGTAACATGAGCGCTCAGATTCAGAAATTCAATTGTTATAGAAGTTAAATTATAGGATAATTTAACTACTGAGTTGATAGGCTGCGATGGACACCTGCCATATGCAGATGAGAGAACTGAGGCTCCAAGAGGGCAGATGGGTAGCCAAGGCCACCAGCAAGCATACGCAGGAGGCAGAGCAGAACCGGACCCAAATCTGTGAGACCCCATGTCCAGGAGTGGGGGTGGGGGCAACATGCCCAAAAGTCCACAAGAGGGCCTGGTCAAATAAATAAGGGGCAGAGAAAGAGCCTTGTGCACAAAAATGGAGTAACTGTCAGAATATACTACTAAGTAAAAATAAAAGTACACAGTTACTTGTAGTCATGACTTGTATAAATAAATCTGGCAGATGCAGAAGCTGGTATGCTGATTATCTCCTGGAGGATACTGGGGGATGGGGACACAAGTAAAGTGGGAGACTTTTCCCAGGTGCAACCTTTTGTACCTTTTGGATTTTGAATCAAGAGAATGTATTACCTATTCATATTTTTTAAGTAATAAGATTAAAAAAAAGAGCAAAAGAGAGCCTCCTTGTTCAACCTTCTTGAATGTAATAGAACAGACCCTTACTGAGCACTTAGGGTGTATCAACCAACTGGTAGGTGCTGTGGGTTATATCATAATGACAGAGTGCTGCCTCTACCTACCAGGAGCCCACTCACCCCAGGCAACCCAGAACTCCCAGGCTGGGCAGTGGGATAAGAGACCACAGTACTCCCATAGCTTCTCTCTGCTATGCATTTGCCTAGCCGCCCAGCCACACTAGGCTGTGAGCCTCAGTTGGAGATGGGTGTGGGTTCCTTCCAGGACCAGCCCCTGTAGACCTGATGACCACAGGGCAGTCTGAGCCAAAACTCCTCAATGCCACCCTGCTCCTTCCCGATAGTCTCAGAGACAGGGCAGTGGGGACGTGGGGAGCCTGTATTTCCAGAAGCTCTCCAGTATTTCTATGGAAAGGATCATACACAATCATGACCTTTCTTCTCTTGCTTCAGGCACTCACGGGTAACAAGCAGCAGTTACTGTGAGGGTCAGATAAGCAGTGAGCCCCTAGTAGGGGACTGCAGCCTGTGTGGGAAGTGTTTCCAGGATCTCTGGAAATAAGGTTGCAATCCACCACACTGCAGAGTCCTTTTCCCCCTCTCCCTGCCCTTTTCTGCCCCCACATTTCACACCAGCTCCCTTATAGGAGTAGGCCACAGCAGCAGCCTGGAGAGCTTGACTTTTTACCACTTTCCCCAGAATTCACCTCATGTTGTCCTCGACATACCAGGACGAGAGAATTACCTCCTTGGGGTAAAGCTACATGACTGGTATCCCCGAGGATAGGAAGCTCTTCCTGGAGGAGTTGCAGCGTCTGGGTGAATGAAGCCAGTGAGTCAATGCTCTCCCAGACAATGTTCCCAATGAACCTCATGTTGTCCTGGGTGCAGAACATGGAGCAGGGTTATTACATTAGACACAGGTGTGATCAAGACCTGCTCACCAGGTAGCTAGAGAGTAGCAGAGTGGACATTTCAACCCTAGGTGTCCCAAGCCCAAATCTCAGGATCTCTTCACACATTGCTAGAAAAGAACTTGGAGTTCACTTAGTATAACCTCGCATTTTCAAATGATGAACTGAGGCTAGCGAGGGAGCGGGACATTTCCAAGGTCACACAGCATGTAACAGGAAAAGCCAAATCTCAAAAACTCAGCCCTTGTCTCCCACTGTTGAAACAATTTTGTCCCCTCTCACAGCAATAAGAAAGGCAGAGTGGTTAAGAATACCTGATACCTCACTTGTAGTTACCTGATTTGTCCCAACTCACTCCATTTCTCAGTTGTTGCCCTTAGACCAGCAGTTGTGACCTCAAATGTCTTCAAGGACAGGCAGAGCAGTAACTGAGTAAGTAATCAACTCTATGACAAGAATGGTGACTGTGTTGAACCAGGCATTGCTTTTCCTTCTTAAAAAGCTTCAAATCCAATTTTTAAAAGTATCAATGCTGCATATGCTTTGTGGGAGGGGAGTATGGGGCACAGATGGAACAAGGTGGACCGTGAGTTGGTAATAGTTGAAGAAGGACATTGGGTGCATGGGGTTATTAACACTATTCTGAGTAAATAAATGTGTATATGTTTTAAATTTTCCATAATAAAAGTTTTTTTATTAATGTGTTATCAAAAAACATAGTGGGTCCTCAAGGCATATTAGAGATACAGGCCACCAATTGGCATGCTCTAGACACTCCCTAATAACCCTCTGGCTCTCTTTGTCCTTCATGACAATTCTTTCCGAATGACCTGGGACAGGGAAAGATGAGGGAGGGAGGGAGGGAGACACAGTGGCTTGGGAAGGGCTTGGAGTCAGCCATCATCAACGCTCATGATCATGGACTCTGGGGATTTGGGTGAACTCCATAAAAATGGATTCAAGTCATACCCCCTGCATTCTGTCTAACCCCTTCTACCCCTACCCTTTGCCCATCCTCCCTGCACATCACTCTTTCTTGCTCACTTTTCTTACCATCCATCCAACCAAGAGCAAGAAGCAAATCTAGGGTTGATATCCTCCGTCTGCAGAAGGGAACATATCCCATCAGGATGAAAAATAAAATGCATGAGTGGCTTGGCACATGCAAGGCACCTGTGACTCTAGAGAGGGTTGCACTGACTTCCAGCAAGACCTCACAAGTAGGTAAGGAAGGTTCATGCTTTTTGGTAAAAGCACAGTGGGAAAAGAAGGTACGAGTTGTGTTTTTTTGTTTGTTTGTCTACTCTGTTTCTTAGGCTGACTACTATTCACCATACTTATGTCCTAACCCTAATATCTTCTCAGTTTATCAAGTGCTCTCACACATATGATTTCATCTTCCAGCCCTGTGAGATAGATACAATATTATCCCCACTTCATAGATAAGGAAACCAAGGCTTGCTGTGATTAAGTGACTTGCCCAAAATGAGATAGCTTGTAAATGGCAGAATCCAGGACTGCTGACACTGATTTTAACGTTCTTTCCTCTACCCCAGGTTGGGAAGGATGGCAGAGCTCTTCCTCACTGGGCTCTTCAGCTCTCCATTGACCTGGTGAGAGACAAAAATGTATCACTGAAGTTTCTAAGTAGTCAATTGGGGTGGCAGGAAATTTTGATGGGCCCAGTTCACTGCAAGTGTGTTGCCATTTTTAATCCAGAAGAATTGTTTGAGGTAATAGTCTGACTTGAATGGGTCTTCTGGGATGACATGGACAGGCGCACTTGGATTTCTCCACGTCTTTGGGTGATGACCATACAGCCCCTAAATCTCTCCTGAACATGATACAGATGGAGAAGCTGAAAGAAGACACTAACATTGTCCATTTGCTGTGTGACTCCAGGCCAGATTTTTCCCTCTCTGGTCCTCAGAGTACACTTCTGGCAGCCAAACCAAAGCTGTCTCCTGTGCCAGTTCACTGTACAGGAGGCTGTACTTCTTTAGCAACCTCCTAGAGAAAATGACATGGGAAACGATTGTCAGAGGAAGTGTCCCACACCATTCATTAGTTTGGGACTCTAACAGCAGGAAAGCAATGGGAAGCAGGGAAATTGTTAGGAGGAAGGATGAAACAGGCTAGTGTGGACCTGGCCCTTCAGCTCTGGCCCAGTGTTTGCTTTTCATGCCGTTCCTGTTATTTTGGTTTGTTTTCCAAACATGGGTCAAACAATCTGTACCCAGAAGCAGCAGCAGCAGCAGCAGCAGCAGCAGCAGCAGCAGCAGCGCAGCAGGAAATGTTATTAAAAATGAGTTTGTTAGTGGGCATGATGTGTGGATGAAGTCTTTGGGAGCTTTGGCTGCCAAATAAAGACTTTATTGTTGTCATTCCTCCTTTCCCAAGCTCCCTCCCTCTCTTCTCCCCTCCTTCCCTCCTCTCGTCCCTCCCTACAATCTGCCTGTACCTCCCCCTAACATAACCTCCCCACCCCAATAGGATCTGGTAGATGAAAAGTCAAGCAAACACAAGCACACTAGCACCACTGGGAGATCAGAACTTCTAACTGGCTCTCTGCTGCCACAGCTCCACCGAAGGGTGGGGGAGGAAGAAGAGGGAGCCTTGCCGGGGACTAACCCAGAGCTGAGAGCAGAGGCAGGTGTATGCAGGTAAGCCCAGTGGGGAGATGCACAGGAAGCCTCCTCCCTCCAGCAAGTGTTGTCCTGCTCTGTCCAGCCTAGGTGGTTGACCTAATTTCTGCCTCTTCCTTCCTATTTTCCACTTTGGTCTCCTTTCAAATGAGTTCAAATTAGTCTTCCTCATTGCTTCTGCACCCTATTTCTCTTCCTTCTCTTCATCATCCTCTACCTGCGTATTTGCTGGCTGCAAAAGTTTAACTTTCTTGGTACAGATGTTTGTTGTAGTACAGAGTTTTACAGAGTGTAAAAGTGTAGTACAACACTTTTATAGATTGGGCATTTCTTTAGAAACTGGAATCAAGAACCTATTTCTCTGCACTTTTCACATATTGTCACTTACCGTCACAGGCACACACACATTACACAGAGGCTTTCATTCTACAAAATACACATAAATATACACAGACACAAAAGCTTCTGCCCACTCACCTGAACTTTCTGACTGCATGTGACATTCAGAGCTAGACACCCACACACACTTCGTCTTGTCTCTCACCCTCTCACACGCCTCACCAGCCGTAAGAGCAAAGAGAAAGTGCGTCTTCCCACTGAGATGGCAGAGCCAAAGAAAATCACGTGTGCTTAGTCTAGGCAGAACAGGGAGGACATGAACAAGAGCAGGACTTGGAAGGACTTCTTCATTCTTTAGAACTTAATTGGGTAGGAGGGAGAAACAGTCACTTTCCAGCCTGCATAATATCTTCCCAGTAGCTCTGAATTTCTGCCTCACTGGTCCAAACCACTGTCTCTGGAAAGAAAAAGAAGAAAGAATCCAGCTTCCAAGCCTTGAAGGTCCTAATCTCCAGCTCAGGAGGCGTTCATTTGCTTTTTGGCAGGCAGTCAGAAAAGATTCCTCTTTAAAGCCATTTCAAAATTTCCCAAGTTGACAAGGAGTCCTTGTAGCAGAGAAAAAAATAAGGAGTCTCTTAATGAGTCAGGGAGGGGAAAACTGGAGGAGTAACTGAGTGGGCCTTGCTTCCAAACAGGGTAACCCTTGTCTATGTCTAAAAGATAGAGTGCTGTCCCAAGGCAAGAAGGGGTGGGCTAGACCCAGGCCCCCAGGTATGGGTGATCTTCACAATCACTTGGGGGCAGGGGAGAATGAGGGTACTTACTAAAAATATAGAAGTCTGGATCCCTTGCTCCAGACCTAAGAGACCCAGAGATCTGTCATGGTTTTAATACAGAAGGTCAGCCAGGACTTGAGAACCTGAATCAGAGGCCTGCAGGAGACTCTTCAGTGCTGGGACTGAAGAGCCCAGAGGTCCTGGCAGTGCTAGCTGGGCAGAACAGCTATGTTTCCTGAACAAGGACTGTCTGATGGAATAGCTCCAGAGTGTCCCAAATGGGAGGTGGCGCTGAAGGAAGAGGAAAGATCTCCTGTGAGTTCTTCCCCTTTATCCTCCTTGCGAGCACTTGCAGCCATATCACACGGGAGCATCCTAAAAAGAAAGTTCTCCCAAGATAGCTCCAAAAGGCTTTTGTTTCCCCTCACCTGCTAATCAGCCTGCCTTGAGCCCCCTGATTACTGTGCTGGGCCTCTCCCCATCTCTCCCATATCCTCTTCTCCTGCCCAATAACTGTCTGTTCTGACAGCCTCACACAGAAGATGATGAGCTGGACAATGAGCTCTGCCCAATGGGCAATCCCATTTACTGGGCATGTGGGGGAAGCATTTTAAGGCTGGGAGGGGCAAAAAAGCCAGTTATGGAAGGTTGGGAGGGAAAGTCATGGGTCGCAATGGGACTCGTGGCCAACTCTGAGCTTTCCCTCACCAGCACCTCCTCACCTGCTGCAGAAAGGCTTGAAGGCAGAGTGGGGGTGGTGGGGAAAGAATTAGAGGGCAGAGTGAGCAGTTGCAGGTGGCTGAGAGTCTATGGTCTCCAATTAGTTGGTTCTGGGACCCCAGTGTGGTCTCACAGGCCACATGTGAGAAGAAGTTGCTCTGTGTGAAAGGAGAGGGGCAACCCATGAACAAGGATCCCCACCATCTGGTGGAAGGCTGAACCACCCTCTGGCAAAGCTGGAGGGAAAGAGACCCCGTTATTCTGAAATAATTTCAACAATAGCTTAAGACTCAGGGAGCATTCACGTTACAAACATTTACTCATTTAACCCTCAAATCACTATATGAAAGTATTAATGTATCCATTTTACAGATGAGGAAACTGAAGCTTACTTGAGGTAAAAGATTTGCACAAGAGCATCCAGTGAAGAAGCTAGAGTTGCAAGTTTAGGACCCAGATGTATAAGCACCTAGGGCATCAGACAGATTCTTTTAGAGATGGAGGCAGGAAGAAGGAGATAGTAAGGCGAGGAGGAGAGCCATCTCACCCTTGTTCCTTCCCCAGCCCCGCGAATGGAAAACTTGCTCTTCTACACTAGGGGCCTGAGGCCAGAAAAACTTCACTCTGTTTATACTTTTCCTTGTGGTAGACACTGGGAGACAGATGGTCTCTCCATCATAGTGTTATATTTATTTTTAGCACTTTTTGATCTGCAGCCCATTTATCACACTTGCTTCTGACAACAACTGGGCAAGGAATACAGGAATAGGGACCATTTCTTATCCCCCTTTTACAGGTAAGGAAACTGAGGCTGAGAGCTGGTTCATGTCACTACGTAGTAGATGGACTAAGAACCCTACTCTCCTATCTAGTTTGCACCATGAAGCTCTCCTCGTCCTCCCCAGTCAGGTCCACCTTCATACTGATTTGACCCCCAAGCAGCTACATCAGTGGTGTGTTGAATTCATCGTGTCCACATATCAGCCCTCTCATTATCCCAGGACCACACAAGTCCCACTTATAGACCTTGAAAGGGTCTCAGACAGCCTAGGTGGGTCTGCCATGTTCTTCTGCTAACAATTGGGCAGAGACTATCTTTGCTTCTCCTGCCTTCCAGCTCCCTTCTGGGCTTCAGGAAGAGATGTAGGGGACAGGATGGTTTTCAGAAGTCTGAGTTTAGAACAGAAAGTCACGAATGGAGAAGAGGGTCATGCCAATGGCCATGGGTGTGGCTCTGGGGCAGGGAACAGCCCCATTTACCACAACAGGGTCACTGGCTGCATTAAGCCATGGAGGTTTAGGGGTAACGATGAGACAGGGAATATGACAAGAAAGAAGAATGCCAATAAGTTGTGTGGAATAATCCCTTAACCTGAGGAAACATACCCAAACTCACTCCCAGGCAACCCCAACTTCCAACTCTCCATACAAGGCCAATTACCCTTAAACTTTCTCCCAGTGACTTGACAAACCCATGCGGACCTCAACCCAGCCCTGCCCTGAACCTAAACATTGCACCAGCCCTGGGTACTCAAATTTTAAATGAATGAATTTATGACCTAAAATAAGAATCTCTCTAGAGAATCTGTTGTTTTATAATCAAAACAATGAATAAGCTAACCCCTGCCATTTGTAGAGTGTTTGTGTGCTATGATATGCCTTTATGTGCATGATCTCATTTGATCCTCACACAGAGAAGCCCAAGGCCTGGGGTGGAGAGGCACAGCCAGGATTCAAGCCCAGATCTCCAATACTGGAACTGAAATTTGTATTTCAAACTCTCTTAGGAAATGTTCTTAAATGGAGAGATTGAAATTTGAGTTGGGTAAAGCAGTCGCCTACAGACTCTCCCCATGAAGCAGCAGCCTTTAGAGAGACAGTGTTAGCAAACAGGGCTGCAGGAGGTCAGTGACTGTTGGTGGTAAACCAGCGTTCAGTGATTAAGCAGTGAGCACAGCCAGCAAAAAGTTTGGAGGTGGGGAGGTGTGCTTGCAAAAGCATAAGAAATTTAAAACTCACACACACTTGTGACTCATCCCAGAGAGCTTATGATTGAATAGAAGGTTCTGGAAGGCAGAAGCATAAGACAGTGTGACATTGGGTTTTTGAGGAGGAGATCTATGACTCCCAAAGAAGTTCGGGGACTTCCAGTCTGTCACACGGATTCTGGTTTCAGGGATTAGGACATTACAGTGCATTGCCAGAGCTGGGCTGTCAGGACCTCCCCCTGGACAGCCATGCTCCAGCGGGAAGAGGCGTTGCCCAAGGAGAAAAGGCTTAGAAATGAATCCTATTTTCTCAAGAAAGAAGCGTGGGTGTGCACATGCACACACACACACACACATACACACACACACACACACAGAATGGTTCAGACACAGGCTGAGAGAAAAGAAATGAGCAGATCCAGCTTCTCCATGGAACAGGCCCACGGAGTTTTTCTAGGGAGCCTCCCATCTGCTCTGGGGAAGTTTGGTCAGCCCCCAGAGGTTTGGTATGCAAAAGGATCAGGACTGGCCAGCAGGTCAGAGTAGTCCCTGAAGGGTCTGGGAGGGCAATGGAGATGAGGAAGCGCTCTGTTCATTTCTGATGGAAGGAGAGGGAAGCTGGCCAGCCAGGTAGAGCTGTGACTGACCTGTGACCCTATCACTCCTGACATTGAAGACCAGGGCTGCAGAAACACTCCCACACGAAGGCCTGAGTCACTGTGCCTCACAGAGTAGGCTTTTGCTGGAAGCTCTGAACAAGTTTTCCCTGCTTCAGGGCTCAGTACCTAGCAGATGCTTTTGGTGACAGAAGGGATACCAGGAAATAGGGAGCCCTAGCCAGTATTGAGGTGCCTCTTTGGGGCAGGGCTTGCTTGTTTCAGGCTTCTGAGTGATAAGAAAATAAATAAATGTCAAAACAAAAAATTCAGGGTCACAAAAAGTGGGGTTTTAAAAAATGTTTGTTTTGCCCTGGCTGGTGTGGCTCAGTGGATTGAGCACCATACTATGAACCAAAGGGTCAAAGCTTCGATTCCCAGTCAGGGCACATACCTGGGTTGCAGGCCAGGTCCCCAGTAGGGAGTGCACAAGAGGCAACCACACATTGATGTTTCTTCCCCCTCTTTTTCCCTCCCTTCCCCTCTCTCTAAAAATAAATAAATAAAATCATTGGGGGAAAAAAGGACCAGTTTCTGTTTAAGGGAAGAGGAGATTTGCTGGGACAAAACAACTATTTTTTAAAAAATGTTTGTTTTTAGCATACTAATGCTTTAACTACCTCTTTAAAAATTTATATGCAAAATGATGGTATTAATTTCAAGAAAATTACAAAACTCATAAAATATTAATTCATAGTTCATCAAGTTGTGTTGGTCTGCCACAAGACTCCAAGTGTAGTTTTACAATGAATGACTTAACTTTTCCATCTTTTCATTGTATCCCTGGAACTATTATAGCCTCAACTGTAGATAAAGCCAAGAATCTAAATGCAAGTTCTTTTGTGACAAGAGGCCTGATGAAAATGGCCTTCCTGGACCCCTTTGGGGAGGCCAGCCTGGGAAAAGACCAATTTAGAAGGAGGTAGAAAGGCAACAGAGGCTACAGGCAATCTCTTCCCTCCTTCCTCCTAGTATGTCTGTCTGCCTGTCTTCCCTCTCTCCCTTCCTCTCTCCTTCACTCTTTCCTTCCCATGCTCAGTGTACTATATATAAGGGCTTACACATGCTCAGAGAACCCATGCAAACCTGAGTCTGCTTATGTGTATGGTACAGGAGGTGTGTGTGTGTGTGTGTATACAGGCTGGGAGTCAAGGGTGTATTTGTGAAAAGTGTGGGATACTCCCTCCTACCCTCCATGGTTGAGCTCTGCCTTCTCTCCTGTTTCTTTTCATATTTAGCTCTCCTGAGAACCTGGCCCAAGACTATACAGCTGGTGAGGGGCTTCTGTTGTCTTCCTTTGAGCAAAGCCAGCAAAAAGCCAGCACTGAGTCAGTCACTCACACAGGGAGGAGTCTAAGTTGATGTGGGTTTAAAGGAAAGAGAGTAAGCAGCCTGCAACAGAGGCGGAGATCACAGGGTCTAGATACAGCTGGGGACACACTCCAGTCCTGTCTATCTCAGAGAACCAAGAAGTCTTTATCCCCAGTGTGTCCTAGATCTCAAAAGGGGGACAGGCAGACACCAGTCATGAAGAAGCAACAAGAAGGGCCAGTGGAAACAATGTGGGAATGACGACCCTACTTGGAGATCAGGGGGCGTGTCAGAAGGATGGGGACCCTGGGGAGAGGATGGTACATGAAACCCCTTTCCCAGACCCTTCCCAGCCAGGCAAGAGGGGAAGCCTGTGAGAGCTGCCAATTTGTGCCTGCAACCCTGGGTCTTTTGATATTTCCCCAGCTTAATTCAATTCAAACCACATGGCTCCATCTGAGGGGTCACCACAGCCAATGGGAAGGGCAACTTCAAAACATCCTTCAGCAACCTTTTCCAATATGTCCCTGAGGCTAGCAGGAAGTTCTTCTTGATATCTCAACACCACCAACTCCAGTGGATATGCGAGCAGCAATACTGGGTCACAAGAAGTGAAAGTGGTTTCCCTCCAACTTTCAATCCTTCCCTGTTTACTTTCCCAGAAGCCTCCACACCAGAGGAAAATTCTTGGTATGTCTCCTGCTGGCAGAGATCATGTTTGCTGAACTGAGTGCAGTGGGTGAGGGGCAAGAAGGGGGACACACACTGGTCTGCAGCACTTCCTTCCTTTCCGAGATCTTTATGAACCCTGCCCTGGAAGGCAGGAGACCTGGGCTTTTGTCTCGGGTCTGCTGTAAATGGCTTCCTGGCCTTGGCAAATCATTTCTTCCCTCCAGGGCTCAAACTTTATAAACAGTACTGTCTGGGCTTCGTTGGTGGATTTCAAACGAGTTTTTGGCAATGCAACTTTATTTTTCAAACAAATGCTTTGATTAAACCCCAGTGTGTGTGTGTGTGTGTGTGTGTGTGTGTGTGTGTGTGTGTACATATCAGACTAAAAAAAAACACAGAGCTGCTCAGGTTGTCACAGGAGTGAGTTAGGGGTGCCCCAGGGCCATCCCCTTGGTCTTCTTCCTTCAAGGGAGCTCCATAGAATTGGGGGCACAGTTTCAGAACCACCAAGCTGTGGGATCTCTAAGGACACTTCCAGATTTTAACCCCAGGACTCTATGGTTCATATACCTAACATCCTTCCTATAAGGAAAGCAATGATTTTCTCATACTGAAAATGGGGAGAAAGCTACAGGACTCCTGATTCACAGCCCACTGTGCTTTCTGCCAGGATGGCTCATGCTCTCCAGAGCAGGTGAAACACACCGAGTGGCTAAGCCACTCGGTGGTAGGGAATCCAGGCTCCAGGGAATCCATTCCTGGGCAGGGAATCCAGTCTCCCAAGCCCTCATTACTTTCTCACCTGCTAGGTGCAGGCAAACAAGGAAATGCTTCCACAGTTTCTCCCACAGCTCACCTGGAGCCTATCCTAGCCAACTTTAACTACAAAGACATGGCCTTCTAAATACTGAGGCTCAATAGGCTAATGACCTCTATTCTTTCACTGCAGGCAAATCACTCGGATCATGAGGCCATCCCTCTTCTTGATCCTCCCACTTCTCCTCATCTTGGCCTCAGTGACCCAAGGCCAGCCAACAAGACGACCAAGACCCAGGCCCAGGCCCAGGCCTAGGCCCAGGCCCACTCCCAGCTTTCCTCAGTCCCGTGAGCCATCAGAGCCTACAGACCTGCCTCCACCCCTCCCACCAGGCCCTCCATCTATCTTTCCTGACTGTCCCCGGGAATGCTACTGCCCCCATGATTTCCCATCTGCCCTCTACTGTGATAGCCGCAACCTTAGAAAGGTCCCCATCATCCCATCCCGAATCCATTACCTCTATCTCCAGAACAACTTCATAACTGAGCTCCCAGTGGAGTCCTTCAAGAATGCCTCAGGCCTGAGATGGGTCAACCTGGACAACAACCGAATTCGAAAGGTAGACCAGAAGGTGCTGGAGCAACTGCCCAGCCTGGCATTCCTCTACATGGAAAAGAACCAGCTGGAAGAGGTGCCCTCTGCCCTGCCCCCAAACTTGGAGCAGCTGAGGCTGAGCCAGAACAAGATCTCTAAGATCCCTCCTGGCGTCTTCAGCAAGCTGGAGCACCTACTGCTCCTGGATCTCCAACAGAATAAGCTGAATGACGAAGTCCTCAAGCCGGACACCTTCAAGGGTCTCAAGAGCCTCATGCAGCTCAACCTGGCCCACAACACCCTGAGAAAGATGCCACCCAAGGTCCCCCCAGCCATTCACCAGCTCTACCTGGACAGCAACAGAATAGAGTCCATCCCTAATGGATACTTCAAGTCCTTTCCCAACCTGGCCTTCATTCGCCTTAACTATAACAAGCTGTCCGACAGGGGGCTCCCCAAGAACTCCTTTAACATCTCCAACCTGCTCGTGCTCCACCTGTCACACAACAAGATCAGCAATGTGCCTGCCATTAGCAACAAGCTGGAGCACCTATACCTCAACAACAACAGCATTGAGAGTGAGTGGGGTAGGCGGGGCCAGGCCCCAGGGAGGGAGGCTGGGGATTTATCAGCTCAGCCCTTTCTCAGGAGCCTCAGGGTAGAGGTGTACAAAAAGCACCTGGTTTGGCACTGGACTTCAAACCTTGGCCTTACCACTTGCTTATCTGTGTGTCCTTGAACAGGTATCTGACCTCTCTGAGGGGTTGCCTCATCTGTAAAGTGAGAATGGTGAAATACCTCTTATAAAGTTGATATGAGGATTTAATCATTGAACATGATATAGTGCCCAGAATACCATGCTTGGAGGATACTCCCTCCTGTTTCTCCCTCTCTTCTCATCAGCCCCCGATTCTTTGCCCTCTAGATCTATAGGTAGGGTAGACATGGAATATAGTCCTGGATATTCTCCTAGAAGAAGAACAGTGACATTTAAATGCCCACTCTGAAATGTCCTGGGCCTGTCTGCTGCAGAATCTGACAGCTGTGAAATGCAGCATCCCCCCAACTCTGCCCCTCAGTTTTGAAGCACCTGTAAAAGGTATACACAGAGAGGCAGCTATATAGTGGCAAGCAAAAGTAGGTTAATAATAATAATACAGTAATTAATAAATAATAATACAAGAATAAACTGTTTCACATATTCACAACTGTAAACTTACTTTTGCTCACCCCTGTGTATTCCAGGTCTACAACTGTCAGTATGACAATGTTGATAGTTGATATGTGGGTGCTATCTGAATGTATCTGGAAAGCTCGACTATTTAGTCATAGAAGACAGTACACTTAAGGCAGAATTTGCCTAAGCTACATTTACAGGGTCCTGGGCTATGAGGTATCAATTGCAGCCCAAAAGAAGAGGCTAGATGTAGCAATTTTGCTTCCATCAAAAATGTCAGCTTTGAACAGAGCATCAGCAGAGAGATTTAAAAACAAAAGAGAGAATATTACCTGGTCCTCGAACAAAATCCAGCTATGCCCACATAAGGAATGCAGCAGCTGCAGGGATGAAGGGGACCAAAGGAAAGAGAAGCTCCCCTATGACAATAATAGAAATCCTTAGTTTCCCAGCCAACGGATAAGAGGGAGATTGTTGAGTTTCTACAATCTTGAAACAAGTGTCAGAAGAACAGGCTTGTTCACTCATCTGGGATAATTACACAGAGTCGGAGAGGGCCTTTAAAAATCTGGCGAGAAACAAATTCAGGAAAAGGGAAAACTGTCTAATTTTACCCTGCAGGGAGTCAAGTGAGGCAACGTACTACCCCCTAGGATGCTTTATAAGCCAAAAATATAGACATAAAGGTTGCCTAATATATGGTAGGTTTCTCTCTGGTTGTGGAAGAACAGGCTGCTAGGGGACAGCCAGACTCCTGAGGGTAAAGTCAGAAAAATCACCCCACTCTCACCATGTCACAGATCTGGGAACTGAGCATCAGGGTGGTCAGATGACAGTCCAAAGTGACAAAAGCTGCAAGAAAATCCATCCATGTCAGGGCTCTTTCTGCAACTCTAATGGTGAAGAGAGAAGAACAATGGCCCTAAGGATGATAAATGAGGCAAGGCTTAGGGAGAATAAAAATTCACTTAGAGGATGATATATCTGACGTCATCTAACAAGAGGTAAAGGAGAAAATGAAACCTCATTTTCCACTGAAAGCCTAGAATCAGTAATCACATCAGAATCAATAGGCTCAGCATGTCCCAATGGCCTTGTGCCCTCCCTAGACCACCTTTCCTCTTCCTGTCATCCCTCTTTCAGTTAATGTGACCATCTTCTGTCCATCCACATGCCTCACATCGAGGTGACAAGAAATTCTCACATCCACCTGACAGCTTCAATTCTCACCTCACCCTGCTCTTTCTCCACACTATGGTTAGATTCACCTTTCTGCAGTATAAAACTCATCATAGACCCCTTCCAAATTTTATACTTCATGAAGCCATAGTTCATATATTCTATCTTCTTTCTCAAAATGACAGTCTTGCTCAATACCATTCCTCAGACTGAAGATCAAATCCCCACTCCTTAGTGAAATATTTGAAAGCTAACCATAAGGTGTGGCCACAACTTAACGTTCCAGCTCACTCTTCCCAGTCCATCACACTGGACTGTTTACTACTCCCAGATTCTTCCGTGACCTTTCTGTCCTTCACAACTCCATTCAGATAAGTTCTTTTATGAGAACCCCTCCCTCTTATGTCTCCCCCTGCTATAATCCTACCTAATTTTGAAGGTTTAGCTCAAAGTTTACTTCCTCCATGACTCCTCAGAGTAAATTTCCAAAAACAACTGTAGATCAAATCCAGCTTAATTTTACTATGAATAAACTGGGCTTGGAGGTAAGGGTGAACTCATCCACAGTCACACATTCCTAAAGTCATCCAGTTCCAGCCAGAACTCTAGAGTCCTCACTCTCTGTTGTCCTCCTTCTCCTTGCTCACCTGTGCCCGTGCCCACCCCCTCTGTCCTGACCCTACCCTCCTCTCCAGCTCACCTCTCCCCTTCTTTGTCCATAGAGATCAATGGGACCCAGATTTGCCCCAACAACCTGGTCACCTTCCATGACTTCTCCTCGGATCTGGAGAACGTGCCACATCTCCGCTACCTGAGGCTGGATGGGAACTACCTGAAGCCACCCATCCCACTGGACCTCATGATGTGCTTCCGCCTGCTGCAGTCCGTGGTCATCTAGGTCTTACTCTGCCCTGGGTCTCCTCTGATCACACTTGAATGCTGGTGGCCCGGGCACCTGAGGTCCTCATTTGTTTTCTCTATCTCCCTGTCTTTCTCCCAGCTTTGCCTTTTTTATCTCACCTTGCTGAAGTAGGACAAGACACACATTGCTGCACCTGCAGTTTCTAGGGTGAGACTTCCCAGGCTTTGGTTGGGTCCACCCAGCCCAAAGACACCCACTGTGTACCCAAACTTCTGGCCCCAGAAGCACAGATGTCTGTCTAAAGAATTCATAGTCCCTTCTCTCCCCACCTTCCCCCATCACTCCTAGGTGAGTCTGGACCTTGACTGACATCTGGACCTCAGTCCAGGCAAACCAAGAAAATGACCAGGGGTGTCCCAGAGGTGAGGCTCACAAAGTCCTGCACAAGACTCCTCCTTCGTGGGCAGCTCTGACCTCACAGAGCCAAAACACTCAGGCTTTGTTGGCCAAGGATGATCAGTCTTGCAAAACTGCTGCTTCACCACCTGTTTGCTGACACCAGACATCACACTGGCTCTCTGCCAGCCTGTGTTCTCAAAAAGAGAATGCAAGGACATAGCCGGGGAGGGCAGAGGGTCAACATTCCCACAAGGACCTGCATCTGGCCTACTCTTCACAGGTGGAAGCTAAGGCCCTTTCTCCAGAGTGAACACAGCTCACAGTCTCCTAAATGGGTCCCTCCAGTCCAAGAGGGAAAGCAGGGAGAAATAGTCCAGGAGAAGAATGGCTCAGGATCTAAGAATTGACCAGCGGGGGAGGGGTGGGAGTCAGGGCTCTGGAATGGGCCAGTGAGGTTGCAAATGGGTCCTGCAGTCCTCTTGGCCACTCTGAACAAGAGGCCTGGTGCCTGGGGAACACAATGTCCACGGTGGAGGGTGCAGAGCCACCAGCCCCACCCTGACATCTGTTCTCTATCAGCGTGGATGGCCTAACCCTTTCCACCCACAGAGAGGCTTCTGAGAAACCTGCAAGAAGGGGTGGGGCATCTGGAAATTTCCCAGAAACCTCTTCCACATGTTCAAATTGTCCTCCTCTCTAAGACAGACACATGAGTGACACCTGGTGGCTGGTGCAGGTCATAGATAGCTCCTCCTCTTCATTTCCCTGGGGTTGATTTTCCAAGTTCAAGAGTTCCAACTTGAAGAGCCAGGAGCCACATATATGGTCTCTCTCTCTCTCTCTCTCTCTCTCTCTCTCTCTCTCTCTCTCTCTCTCTCTCTCTCTCTCTCTCTCTCTTTCTCCTCTCTCTCTCTCTCCCCACCCACCCCCACCCTCCTGGGTCTAAAGGGCACAGAGCTACAACGGCCCTGAAGTGGGAATTGGGGGATGGCTCATTCCATCATGGGTGAGCACCAGTATAAACCTTAGGGACCAGCAGAGGATGTGGTCTCTTCCCCTTCGCTATCTGAACTTGTGGTGCCTTCTGCTCTCAGCTCCCATACTCTGTAAACCCCTCTAAGGCCCCCCTAGCACTCATATTCCATTCTGTGGCTCCGCCCTTTAGACCTTGCTCTAATGCAAGACAAGCCCTAAATATTATCCACTTCCCTTGCAGTTATTTATTCCCTATATGGATGTCCCTCCCCCAACCTTCCCACCCTCCCTGCCTGGCCCAGGTGAAGCTTGGCTGGCCTCCAAGAGAACCTGGGCTCCAAAGACTGACTCACCTTCTTCTTCCCCTGACCTGCCTCTAAGGGATGCTGCCCCTCTACAGTCCCTGAGTGTATGTGTTGGTGGGGTAGGGGTGGATGTTCTAGAAATGACTGGTACGTAGTTGCCCACCCTCAAGATGGGTTGAGCAACAGTCCAGAGATTTCTAAGAAACTGTACTAAGCTAGACCCCTAACTTCAAAAAATTCCCATTATACTCATTTTCAGTTTCTCTTTTTCTAATTCACAGAAAACAGAGCTCATTCAATTCTAGCCTCCTTCACTCTGCTCCCATAAACTGCCTCATTCATCCAAGCTACAGCTGGTTTCTCCAAGGCTCCTGCTTAAAGTCAATATAGTATTGTGGCTATAAGCAACCTGGTGCTCTGGCCTGGATAAGCCCCCTTCTGCCTCTCATTCACCCCTTTCAACCTCCGCTGCTCTGATGAGGCCCTGAGGGAACACAGCTCCATGGTTCAGTGGAGAGGGATCATCACCCTGCTTCTGCAAACCCAGACTAGTTTGTTTCAGCAGCAACACAATCACCACCATCCTATCACACCATCTAGAATAAATGCTCCCTCCATCACCCTCTGCAGCTGTAAGCCAGAGAGGATTGAGTTAAACTGACTATAGCAAACCCGTCCCCACCCCATCCCCCCACACACAATGTGCTGATTTCCCATGGATTTAAGGAAGCCTCTCCTCCACACACAACTGTATCTCCCAGTGCTGTTGGTATCTACATATACAGGTGTGTAAGTAGGAGTATATGTGTACTCTGTTCATATAGCTGTTCTGGAAGACCATGTTAACTTTGTGACACAACTTTCACATTCTAATATGCTTCACAGCAGAGGAAATAAAATAATATGAAAAACATCCTGCTTGAACTTGACAGTGTGAGCAGGTCAAGAATAATACTTTAAAGTCATTTTTCCTCCCCCTCCTCCTGCCTCCACTTTCCCCTTGCTCTGAGAAGAGGGGTAGAGGAGGGGGTCTTCTTCTTAAGAAACTCTAAATAAACAATTCCAAAGCTTTTTCTTGGTGAATTTCTCCAAAATACAACTCTCGTGAAAAATAATTCCTAAAGTCAGACCAGAAATCTGACAGCTATATTTGAAGCCCAAAGGCCCAGGACTTTCAGCTCACAGATTCCTAATTGCTGAGAGTGTCCCAAATGCATAGTACTGAGCCAAATACAGACAGACATAAAGCAGACACCATGCCTAACAAAGTGAAGCCTGTAGACTAGTTAAGGAGATGCAGTGTAAAAACACTGCCAGAGCTGTATCAAGGGTGAGAATAAAGGGCCACCTCATCTGGAAGGATTTACAGGCAGTGCAGATGTTCACAGAAGGGTGAGAAGGGTGTACCCTGGAATCTGTCTTCAGATGGGAGGTTCTAGAAGTAGGCTGTGATCCTCCCAGATGACATCATCTTCTTTGCGATGAAAAATGCCAGTTGCTGCCCCCACCACTCCCACCCTGCCTCCTAAATACCTGCTTCAGTTCAATTCAGCAAGTTTTCTGTAAATATCAACTACATGCAAGCTTCCCAGCTGGGAATCCAAGGGCAGGTAATAAATATCCCATGCCCATGAGGAATTCATAGCTTGGTAAAGGGAAAAATCCATTAATTAATAATTGCTTGTCTTCAGGGTTTGAATAATTCTGTGTATAAAGTGCATGGTGGAGAGGGCCTCTACCTCTGCTGGAGAGAAGCCAGAAAGGCTCCCATCATTGGAGCTGGATCTTAAGGGCTGGAGCAGAATTTTCCAGGTGGGAGAAGGGGGAAAGCACATAGGCAGGAGGGGAAACAGCATTAGCAAAGAGGTAGGAAGGCTTGGCTTGTAGTCTGCAGGGTGTGTGTGTGTGTGTGTGTGTGTGTGTGTGTGTGTCTGAGTCATGGGGTTGTGTGGTTAGAAGCCCTCAGCAGGGAACATACTCCTGTTTTCCAAAAAACAGGGGCTTCCTGAACTTTCTACCCACCCCACTCCCTGCCCATGAAGGGGGTAGCAACAGGGTCAGCTAGCTAGACTTTTGTCCCCACCAACTGCCACATCCATTCCATGAGCATGCCTTGTGGTTCTCCTAATGAGGGGCTCAGATTAGAAGGGCTCCCACACCTCCCACCCCCTTCCTGAGCTCTAGGGTGCTGTGCATCCTGGAACAACAGCATGATGGTCAGACATCCCATGGGCCCTCCCTGAAATCCATGGAACCAGAGGTGGGGCAGGCAAGTTAATAAAAATAGAGCCAAAGCTGGGGGAAGGTTTAGGACCTAAGGCCAGTCTGGAAGTGACTGGTGGGGAGGTAGTAGTGGGAAAGCCATTGCATGTGAGGTGAGGATGGCTGTGTCCTGGGGGAGGACCCATTGCAGGTCAGAGGGCATGGCAACAGAGCACAGGCCGTGTGTCTAAGAAAGTGAGGAGGGAGAGGGAGAACAGGAGGCAGGCAGAATGAAGAAACAGTTGTATCTGCATTCCTCACAGGACAGAAATGGTGCAGAAAGGGAAGCAGAGAGGCCCTGGCTGTAGAGAGAAAAAGGAGAACAGCAGCCAAATATGCCATCTGCTTCTGGGGCACTGTCCTGGCCCCAGGACCCTCTTTCTCTCCACCCAGCAGAGCCCCTTTTGGTTGCCCTCCCATGGGGAGTAGTGGGGCTGCCAAGGGCACAAGTGATCAGGTCCTTAGGCTGCAGCAAGTCTTCTCCACAACAGCTGGTGTCCAGGAGCACTGTGAGATGAGCACTGCCCTTTGGCCAGGCTATTAGATCTGCCCCTTCAACTTGGTGTGCTCAGGCAGAGATTAACTCTGCCAAAGCCATCTGTTATAATGGCACCAAGACATGTGGTCTCAGGAATCCCAGGGATGAGGGAGAGAGCAGAGGGTCATGCCAAGAAAGGAAAACCCTGAGGATCAGGAAATCTAGGAGTTTGTTCTGGCTCTGTGTGACCTTGGGCAAGTCACCTCACCTCACTGGCCTTGTTTCCCCATCTGTACAATAAGGGCTTTAGATTAAATGGTCCTCAGGAGGCCTTGCAGCTGGGATCTAGTACCTGGTCAGGGGAAGAGAACAAGAGAAGGAGCATCACTGAAGAGCCCAGGCAGACATGTAGGCTGGCAGGACTCTGGGGAGACACATCTTCCCTCAACCACCTTCACCAAAGACTGCCCAGAAGAACCTGTGGCACCAAAGGAGAGTCTCTCTCCATAAACATATCTCAGGGAGAATCCTTCTTAGTCCTTGAGGACCCCACACATTGCCTCCTGGTGTTTGCAATCAGGAGTCCTCTTTAGGACCCCACCTCAGCAGAGTTAGAGAATGTCCTGTGTCATCCTTGCCATCATCACAGAGAACTCGAAGTTGGCTTTCAAGCCCTAGCCCATCCCAAACACCCAGCCTTCAGACCCTCCATCTGGTGATTTCTGTTGCTATAGTTCCCACACTTTGGCTGTAGGTGGTAGGTGGTGGTCAGAATGCCTCAGCTCTCAGCCCCTTTTAATCTTTGGATTTCACCTATAAAGTCAAAGCATCGTCCCTCTCTAGATGGAGAAGAAAGCTAAAAGAGCTTTCTTCACCCCAAAGCTCTACACACCCACTGCTACCTTCTCTGAAAATAGTACAGAATCTGATGGGTGGGGTCCCTCAGGAGGTGGGGAGTGCCTACCCTCTTGAAGAGGGTGGACAAGAAAAAGAAATAGCAGACCAAGAAAGAGAGGAAGAGATGGGTGTGGGAGGTAGGGAGGACTGTGAGTAGGGGGTAAGGTTGGAGGGCATAGAGGGAGAGAATTCCCTGGCACCAAGCAAAGGAATGGGATGGGGGCTTGCTAAGGGAAAATGAAGGGGAAACAGCTGGACATCAAGAAGAGTCTAATTGACCACACGTCTGCCTTGGCCAGCTCCCTGCCCTTCCCAGGCAGCTGTTCACCTAAGCCCCACTGCACACAACCTTTCCATCAGAGTCCACACCTCTCTGGATGCTGTGAGCTCCTTTGGAACCAAAAAAGTCTACATAAGGGTAGGGCTCAGGGTTTGAGATGGTAGACCCCTTGGTATGCAAATGAGGGAAAGAGTGCTTAGCTGGAGCGGGGATTGGGTGGGAGAATGAAGAGAGTTTAGGTCTCTAAGCCAGAGCCATTGGAGGAGGCTATGGGGCAGCAAACTCTGTCTTAGGACTTTTCTTGAACACTTCTTAAAGATTATATAATATGTTTTGGAGTCAGGTATGGGAGGTAAAATAAAGAGACACACTGTTGCTATTGCTGGGGGCTTACCCTCTTGCCTGATTAAAATTAAGAAAGGGCGAGAATCTACTGGAAACTCATGCAGCTAGCTCTAGGGAGAGCCACATTATCAGAAACACACCCAACACCACATGCATTTCTTGACCTATCTGTGTGTATATGTGTGAGCTTACACAAACATTTGTATGCAATGTACATCACATATGTGCACATATACAGATATGTACACATGTATCTAAGGAAATTTCCAGGTGTGTAGACACTCCCACAACCACACTGAAGAGGTCTTTTGTTTCTGTACTCATTAATTTCTAAAAAGCTACATTTATAAGTATACTTTATATGTATACTAACATTCTTCTTGCTTTATACGTCAATTTGTAAACCTAGGTCCCCTAAATGGACTAGGTGTTCCTGGAACTCGGTTTGTCTTATTCATTTCTGCACCTCAGAGACAAGTCCATAATGTTTGTTGAGCAAATGCATGAATGAGTGAACAATGATTTTAAAAACCACGAGATGCCTCAATGGTGGAATTTCTCTAAATGTAGTTTAGTGACTAATCGTTACACTCTGTGGTTGTATAAGAGAGAACATCCATATAAATGCACGAGTGTGTGCCCACTCAGTGGAGAGCTGTGTCGCAAAGGGGACAAGTGTGTCCTTGTGGAGCTGAGTAAATGAGCCTGTGTCTGTACGTGCCCATTAAAGTCTCAGGGTGTGAGAAAGCACACAGAGCTGGAAGTAGAATGCCGGTGAAGGGGGTCTGCCCCTTAAACAAAGCCCCAGCCTGTAGGGCGCTTTCCCAGGTAATAAAGGCACTGAGTGTGGGATGAAAGCGTAAGAGTCTGCCAGTGTGGGGGTGGGAAGTTCCCACAAATTCAAGAGATCCCAGTTCCTCGGATGGCTGCCCTCCCTCCTGCTCACTCCCTAGGACTGAATGCCAAGTGATTCTACCCCATTCTCATGCCAACCCCACCCCCAAATCCCCATGAAGTTTCTGGATTCCCTGAGCTTGCTCAACCTGGTGCTGCAGAAAACAGGTACTACTTCTCTCCCAGAGACTGAGAGAAAGAGAGAAGCACAGCCACAGGGAGAAGGCAATTCTAACGCAGGTCTGCATCTGGGGAACTATGCCCTGAGCCTGGATAACTACGATGAGGTCACTGACCTGAGCAGCTATGAAGAGCTCACAGACTATGGGGACCACCTCCCCCAAGTGAAGACACAGCACACAGGCTGCACTCCCCCAGACTGAGAGCCAGGAGCCTGGTCACTCTCCTGCTCTGTGGTGCAGGTGTCTCTAGCCCCCATTTCTTTCTTTAGGAAGTGGAAACTCTTGTCCCTTCAGTGAAACTTGTCACTCAGATTATACTAAGAAAGGGGACAATAAAACTCCCATTCCTTTGTTCATTTGTGGCAAACTTGGTGGGACTTTCCTTAGAAATAATACGTCTCTCCCACTACTTTCAAGCAACACCGTAAGCCAAAGCCCACTGGGACATCAGCAATGTCTTCATATTCTCCATAGAAAAATGCCACAACTCTATTCAGTCTAAAGTTCTTTCTCAGCCCCTCCTGGCCTTTGCAGGAGATGATGTGAAGTCTGCACTTGCTTGACATGTGAGCTTGGTCAGTGCAGGGCAAGAGAAGAGCTCCAGCCTGGGAAATCTGGACTGACCACCATCTGGCTCCTTCATCCCAGTCCCTCCCATCCCTGGGCCTCAGTTTTCTCATCTGTGTCATAAAGCTATTGGACCAGATGCTCTCTAAGAAGGTCATTCCTTGCTCATTCTTTCTGCCATCACTCCTTCCTTCTCCACAGTGACTCTTTGAAAGTTTTATATGGTCACTGATGTTCACAGAGTCCAAAGTGAAACCCCTCTCAAGCAAAAGCTGGCTTAGACTGTGTGCTAGGTGCTATATCTCTAGTTTAAAGGAACCAGTCTGGCTCCTTTAAATAGGATCAGCTCTACTCAGAGCACTATGGCTCCAAGGACATCTTCTTGAAACACCACAATGACCAGGCCTGCTACATTGGGCCTGCTGGGTTTCCCAACCAGCCACAGTTAAGTTCACAGTGACAGGTTTCAACATACAGGCATGATCCACCACGAGGGGCACCAAAGTGGACACTGAAGGGCTAGGGAGTAGAGAGTCAGGGAGAGGATAAACAGTCACAGCAAGAACAGGGAAAAAATCAAAGAGAAAGATGGCTATTCCTAGGGCTTCTGCCTGAACACACAAATAGAATAGGAAGCCAAGAAATACCAGAACTCCACTATGACTAGCAAAGCCACCCTACCTTAATAAACAGGGTCACTGGGAGAAGAGGCTGAGTGGTAATTAGAGACCATTAAAAGCCTGTAAGAAGAATAAATAACTGTGGCTGCCACTTCTCATGGGAGCCTGTGAAGCAATCATACTGCTTTTCAGCTTTTAATTCCCTCCCGAGCAGCTCCTTTCCCCTCCCTGACGCCCTCCTGGAGCCTGGGATACTGATGTATCTGTCAGTAAGGGGCTGACACCCTCCTGCAGGTCAGAACTGAGGTGGAGAAGGGATGAAGTTCATTCCACTTCCTCATCTTGAGATGTTTGCCTTGGGCGGATCTAGCGTATTGGGGCCTCAGCAAAGAAAACCCTTCAGTCAGGAATCCATGGTCTCTCAGAGTTACAGAATGCCAGCCTCAAAGGCATCATAAGGGTTTCCACTGGAAGTGCCATTTCAAGGCCTTGGAATAAAAAGGGTGCTGAGGCCCTCTCTGCTCCATCTACATTCTTCCATCCCTGCTGGTAAGAAGAGCTGCCTCTTCCTCTTGGGGCCATGTCACTGCTGACAAAGGGCCCCTCAAGTTGGACTGGACTAGCAGTGATCTCTCGTAATCCCTGTCCCTTGTAATAGCAAGTGATGGAAACCACCTGCACTGTGCAGTTGTAGAAGCCAGTAAAGTACCTGAAATTTTTAAAGCCAGTCTGAGTCTGATGGCCTGGTCTAACTCTCATGACCACTGGCCAAGGACTGAGAACAGTAGAAAGCTCTTTCCCAATGGGAAACTGGAATGTTGGCACCACAACAAAGGGAAACAAATTCTGGGCAGGCGCCGTCCACTCCACCTTGGCTCTGCTATGCTTCTGGGAGCCACACAGAATGTATCTAACTTCTCACCCACAAGACAGCTGGCACTTAATTATTTCATTTTCATTATACCTTGTGGGACCAGAGAGAAACCCCATGGAAAAGACACCAATAAATATCCTAGTATCACCCACATAGGCCCAAGAAAGTCTACATAGAACCAAGGTGTGATGCAGGTGCTAATGGGCTTGGACTGGGTCATATCTGAGGGTGGACCTGGTCCTCTTAGGTCAAGGGCTGAGTGCCAGGCTGGGAGCATCCAACAACACTGCCTGGGTGCACTGTGACAGTTGGTGCTGGGCAGAAAGCCAAGAGGACACAGATGGTCCTGGATCAGAGACTCCCTGAGGCAAGGGCCCTGGTCCCAGAGGCTGAAGGGGTCTGACAATAGGGGGTTTATTCTTCCCTTTATTCTGTCTTTCTCCTGGGCCAAGCCTGCCCACCTGTCTGGTCTGCATGTGCCTTGGTTCCTCTGTGTGCTGCAACGACACTGACTTAGAGAACATCCCTCATCTTCCCCAGACAACCACCTACCTGTATACCTGCTTCAACCACATCCACCAAATCCAGGCCAGAGACTTCAAAGGGCTGAGTATGTAAGGCCCTGGCAAGAGGGAAGCATGGGCCCTGCAGAGGGAACCCTTGGGGTATTCTCTTGGCACCCAGAGAGGTGAGCAGTTGCTAGACACAGGTCTCCACTTGTGTTAGCCTCTTCCTGTTAGCTTTCAGTCGTTCCAGCTATTAAGTGGATATAACCCCACATCTTTCTAATTCCTTTCCAAGAAGATGTCAGATGACAGAAGTGACCTGTTTTTATTTATTCTCCCCAAATCTGGAAAGCTGGGAAGGGGAATATATGATGAAGCCTACATTTTCAGGGTATCCTAGCAGCCGTAGCTCTGTACACCCCCCAGCCTCTGGACAAAACCATGCTAAATCTATTCACTGTAGCACTGGTGCTATTTATGTGGTTACTTGTTTGTTTGTTTATTTGTTTGTTTGTTTGCTTGCTTGCTCTTTTATGCCTTACATCCTGCCTAAAATAGGAGATCTGGGCTCTAATCCAGATTCTGCTACTAATTGCCACAGCTTTCTTTTTGTATAAACTTAGTGGTGGAGGATAGAGGTGGGATGGATCCTTTAAAGATTTCTTCCAAGGTGGGCAGCCACCTTGCAGGACAGAGCTCCAGGGAAGGGTGTTGCAGAATTTGAGGGCTTTCCCAGGGGACTCTGCTTTATGACATTTCTCCTGGTGTGGACATGGTGCAGGTAGAAAACTGCTTGCAGACCCCAGCAAATAAAAACAGGTGTCATTTGTTGGTTGTCATTCCCTATCCTGAGAGGGCTGGAGCAGGGTATGGCAGCCTTTGCAAGAGCAGGAAAAAATGGTGAGTCCTGGGTCTCTCTGTTCTCCCTCGCACCCCTCAGCAAAACTGAAGAGGGCTGACCTCTCTAGCAACTTCATCTCCTCCATCAGTGACAATGCCCTCCACCTACATCCTGCTCTGCAGGATCAGATCCTCCCAGATAACCAGCTGGCAGCCCTGTCCGGGCTCCCTACAGGCATCAAAGTCCTGAGCATCTGCCTGAATTGGCTCCAGAGCTGGGGGAAAAGCCTAGGAGTCTTCAGCATGAGCTGGGGCCTTCAGTCCACCACAAACCACTTGCCACCCACACTCACAACCACACTCACACCTTGCCCTCATGAGGTAGCCATGCTCCAACCCAGTTCTGGGGCCTGAAAATCAAACTCACTATTTCATCTGTTCCCATTTGTTCTATTAAAGTTTCTTTTTGTTGCAGGAACCTGATTCTGACTTGGAAAAAAACTGTTTACAACATGCCATCCCAAGAACCTCCATGAAAGGAAACTCAGGCATCCTGAGCCAGTTACTGGGGGGACAGTGTCAGAAACCAAGGTCCAAGACTCTCCCTCTCCGTCTTTGGGACATGCAGACTCTTGGCTTCTTTTTATGCACACGTTCCATTGGCCTCCCTGCACACGCAGCTCTGCTCCCCTAAAGCACAATAGTGCTGTCTCCTGCCCTAACTCTACAACTCCCTGCAGTTCCAGATCCCACCACTAACTAACTGTTGCCTTTCTGTGATCAAATGCTCAAGTGAGACCATCTGCTTGGTCAGTGACTGACCAGTTTTGATGGGAAGGGCTAACATATGGTAATAATATGGCCTCTGCACCTGCCCACTCCACAGGGCTGAGAAGACGGGGTGGGGGACAGTTCCCACCAAGAAGAAAGAGAGGTATGGACAAGACTGACACCAGCTCTCCTACCATACATGTTCAGTTTGCCTCATGTGCGTCTGTGGCTCTCATTCTGTTGATCTGGATATTTCTGGAATGCAGTCTCCGCAGCTGCCCCAGGTTTAGCATTCGGAGACTGTTCCTTTGGGAAAATCTCTTCTGGTAGCAGAGAAGTTGAGGCCAAGCTGAGATGTCCCCTGCCCTCCTTCCATCCCATTGCTGTCCTCTCTGGCTCCTCCCCAATCTTACTAGCCGCAGGCAGCTCCTGCACCTGTCCCCAGGGTAGCAGCTTTCCTTCTGCATCCACTGGGAATCAGCAAGCAAGCTCCTGAGAGTCTGGGTACACCTGCCCAACCCATCGTGGAGCCTGGCACACGGCTGAGGCTCAGGAGGCCCTGCATGAAGGAATGGGGTCACATCAGGCACCCCACTCTGCCAGGGCCCACCAGCATCCCACACCCTTTGCCTTTTTTCCAGTGTACCCCTCCCCAGGCTTTGGAGAAGCTGCGTTTCCTCTACCTGGCTGGCAACTTGCTGGATTCCATCCCAGAGCCCCTCCCCCTGAGCCTATGTTCGCTACACCTGCAGGTGAGCGGCCTTCCCAAGAGCTTTGACTACAGACCACAAACCACAGAGCGCAGGGGGAGGAGGGCCTATAGAGGAAACATCCTTAGGCAGTGGTGCAGCCTTCTCTGAGAGTTTATGGGAGACTTGGGTGAGTTGGGCTTGTCCAGGTCATTTTCTACAGCCTTAGTTCTATTTCCTCCCCTTTCTTCTCTTTAAAACATTTCTTCTCCCTCCACATCCTTATCCCATCTCCCTCAACTTCCTGTTCCTTCTCCTCTTTCATTCACTGCCCCCAACCCCGGCTCCCCCTCTTCCCTACATCCCTCTGTCTTCACCCTCCCTCCAGGGGTGTCCTTTTCTCACCCCTTGTTGGATGGTGTCTTAGGTGCCTTGGTTTCTCCAATTATAAAGGGGAGCAAAACTGGTTGGATAGCTAATTGAGACTTCAGTGCAACTGTTGATGTGTTCTTTCCAGAATAATGATAGAGACCATGCAGAGTGACACCTTCTGTGACGAGGAGGAGCACAAGCAGACACAGAGGCGGCTGGAAGACTACTGCCTGGATGGCAACCCATCAGTTTGGGCCTCTTCACCGGTGTCTACTTCTGCCTGCCACAGCTCCCTGCAGGCCGCTTCTCCTAGCTCTCCCTTGCCTCTCTCCCCAGGTGTTGGCCCCTGGAGTACCACCAAAGGCACAGCCTCCAAAAGACTTTCTTCCAGGTGTTAATCAGCCTCATGCTCTAGTTTCAGAAATCATCCCCCTACCTCCAACACACACACTCTGAAGTGTCCTTCAGAAGCCAAATTTGCATCTCTTCATTCTCTTTCCTTAACACTCTCTGGCTCCTGGTTCAGAGAATAGCAGTGTCTGCAGCAAAGCTCTTTCCCATATTCCCACCCTTCCTGGCCACATGGAATGCCAGGGAAGTCATAGGAGAGGAAGAAGAGGAGAAAGAGAAGGAGGAAGGGGGAGAAGTAGTGATGTGCTGGAGCCAGCTCTTATGACTAGCCTTACAAGAACAAATTATTAAATTTTCCAGAATTTTGCAAGCTAGTTAGTTGTTAAACACAGCCATTGTTAAAAATTAAATTATATAAACTCAATTAAATATATCAGGTTAGAGACAAATGTAATAAATACTCAAACTCATCATTTCCCTGTTATTTTACTATTAACCATGTTTTTGAGCCGATTTGTGCCCATGGGGTCCCTACAATAGAAACACTATGTAATGACATGTTACCTCCACTCCTGTCTTCCCAGATCTGCTTGCAGCCCTGGATAGTTTGAAATGTCCATGGTGGAAATATTTATACCAGAGAAATCGGTAAATGATACATATTGGGATTTTTTAAAATATTTATTTACTTACTTACTTACTTATAGCTGGTTGCTAAGCATTTGCCAGCACTCCACTGAGGAGAAAGAATAGCTATTTAAAGTAGCCTTACCCCAAGGCCACTCTTGGGGGAAGGGTGGGGTTTCTGTGAGGCGTTCTTTAATTTCTTGCTTTTCCAAGGCCAGGGCTTCCTGTTAGACTTTGAGGAAGCTGTTCATAAGAACAGAGAACTGACATGAATCTTCACCTGGGTGCCCTCCTTGTAGTTCCTGGCTCACTGGCCAGCCTCTGAATAGGGCTCAGCCAGCGGTTGCTGGCCACTTGGGTTTCCATCCTTCCCATGCTCTTCCATGGCTAACCACCAGAGGGCAGCCTTGCAAAAAGATAAATCCACAGAGCAGTAACATCTGCAGCCTTCTCGGATCCTGTGCAGGGCCTGCTGTGCGGGCAGGATGGGAAGAAGGGCAACTGTGAGCTAGCAAAGTTGCTGCTCCATTTATAATAGGAGGGGAGATGTCACCCTTCTCTGACTTCTTATAACATGTTGGGCAAGGGGAGTGTAACAGATGAGCATTTGTCATGGGTGTTAACTTGAGGCAGGCAATCCATTTCCTCATTCAACAAGGATTTTATGGAGCACTCTCCGTCATGTGCCAGGCACTGTGTTACATGTTGGTGACAAGAAGGTATGCAACAGATGTACTCCTTTTCCTTATGGAGCTTAGAGTCTGGTGTGGAAGACACATGTTAAACAATCACACAAATAACCACACCATTCTACTCATGATAAATGCTATAGAAGAAATATGCAGAACATCCTGAGAGCTTACAGGAGTAGACCAAGTCTAAGGGTCCAGAGCACCTCAAAGAACTGACATCTAAGCCAGTTGCCAAGGCAACCACTCAAGGTCCCAGGTAGTCCCTGAGTCTGGATGCACAGGTGCATCTTGCCCACATAGGAGGGAACCCATTCATCTGCCTTCCCTGCCTCTGTCTAGCATCTCTCCATGTACATTGGATCCTCGAGAAAGTCCGTTAAGAAGACAAGTCAGGGATTAGTCACTTTCCTCAAAGGAAGAAAGAGAGAACTAGAGAAGATAAAACACTTTCCTCAGCTTTCATATAACTTGGACCAAGACTTGGCACACAGAGTGCCAACTGGGAGTGGGAAGCCTTGAAGGTGGTGAGAGGTGCCCTTGTGCCCCTCCTGCAGGTGCTGTGCTGCCCATCCTCTCTCCTAGAGATTCAAGGATTCCAGGACCCCTGGCCCAGGGGAGGAGGGGGAGGGCAAGGACCCAATAGCTTCTTCTTACCTTTTAGAACAGCAGAGAGCAGTAGAATTTCAGAACAGTAGGGTTCAGCATCTCTCTTTCCCTCTCATCTGTCATACCCACTAGTCTTATCCTCTTTGACATAATCTTTTTCCATATGCTGCTATATTACATCACAACAAGGCCTAGGCAAATATAGCTAATAGCCTCAAGATCCCCAAAGAAACCTTGTTGAAATAATCCAATGGAAAAAAAAGAGAAATTTCCAGAACTGGGGCTCCTGGGTGCCAAAAACCACATCATGGCCCTATGTCTTGTGGTTAAACTGTACTGCGTACAGAAAGTCATCTGACCCTTGCCATACTGTGGGATAAAAAGACTAACAATTCCTGGACTCCAGGAATTTGCCAGACACTGTCATGGAAGCCTGTATGCTATTTAAGGCGTACAGGCTGTACATCAGCTTATTTAAGCCCAACAACAGCTCTGGAGAGCAGGGATGCTTATCTCCATATCGCAGGTGAAAAACACTCTTATGAAAAGGAAGTGGCTCAAATTCACACAGCTAGTAAGTGGCAGAGCCTGAATTCAAACCCAGGCCAGTCGGTGCACAGGCCCTAAGTCACAGGTGGCAAACACAAGGCCGTCGGGCTGAATCCAGCCCTCCACCTTGTTTTATCCGGCCCGGCACCTAGTTTCTATCCGGTGGTAACACCAAGCTCTCGCTTAACTATTGAGGAGTAGTTACATTTATACAGTCCTAAAATTACATTCAGCCCTTTGAAGGCAACCACAAGGCTGACGTGGCCCCCGGTGAAAATGAATTTGACACCCCTGCCCTAAGTCCTATTCTCACAACACACTTCAATGTGGGCACTTCTTTCCAGGCCAGTCTAAGGAGGCAGGCCCTGGCTGCTCCTCTGTGCAGCTGACTCCTGACTAATCCCCCATTCTGGTCTGGAGAAGCCCAAAGATAGAGAGAATTGCCTTGCTGGCCACCTCTCTGAAGAAATTCTGCAGAGAGCATCTGTCCCTTGGCACCTCCCATGATCCAGAAAGGGACATGGGGAGGGAAATCAAACTTGGCTCCCAGCAACTGTCACACCTGGACATGAAGGAACTGGGGCTCTTATTTCTTAGGGACCTCAAGGAGTCAGGGTTGAGAACCTGGTAGGAACAGTAGAGAACACCTCTTTATCTGGAGTAAGGTCCTCTGTCCTGCAGAATGGTAAATATATGAGCCAGCTCTGAAGTAAAACATGAGCGAGCAAAGAAGAGGGGACCATGGGTCTAGTCAGTGTTAGGGTGGTCAGTGATACAGGCTGTGAAAGAATTCACAAAGAGAAGAAAGTATAAAGGATAAAGTTTTTATTCACTCTCCAAGAAAGGTGAGAGGCATAGTGCAGAGAAGATACACTAGGCTTGAGGGGTGGGGGCTTTCAGTTTTTATTGGATTATCATTGGATTAAAAGGGGGGTGGGGGTGCTGTCGTGTGGCTCTGGGCTGTCAGGGCGTTGTAACAGAAGCTGCAGTTTGTTCCAATGTTATATTCTGCCTGTGGCTGTGGGGAGCAGTTAGTTCTGTTCTTGCTTCCAGTAATTTCCAGTCCTGGGGATATAAACTCAGAAGAGTAAAATGGCTGTCATGTTTAACAAGGTCACAGACCTGCTCAGCAAATGGCACCATGATAGCAGATGGGGCTGACTTTATCCTTTGTCAGTATGCCTCACTGATGACACTGCAACTCTCCCAGCCTCACTCATGCAGGTCCACTGGTGCTCCACCTTGGTGGCTTTGGAGACCATGGTAGGGCCCTTGCACCAGGGCAGCTCCCTGGTAGTCATCATCCAACCCTGAGGAGAGAAGCCCCCCATCTGCAGCACCCCTCAGCCTTCAGGGTGGTTTTGGCTCCAGGCTGCAGGCTGTGAGTGTCATGTCAGGCTGTGAAGAGGCCAGCATGAGTGTGCAGTGACTGCCCACCGCCCCCCCCATGCCCATTCTCAACTCCACAGCAAGGCCCAGCTGGGCCCACTACTGAAGGAGGCTGGTGGGACAGGAGGGGCTGCTAGAAAGGCTGGAGCTAAATTTTTCAGGAACCAGGCAGTGTTTCCTCACTGTGACCTTGCCTAGACTTCCTTCCTGCTTCCTTTTCCCTTGAGGCTCCTCCCTGAGTAACAATCACTGAGGTTTATGCTGTAAATATGCACTTTATAGATCTCATAAATATGGGATGAAATTTGTATTCCCAACAAGTCTGTGAAGAAGATGTTATTATCCCTACTTTACAGACAGAACATTGGAGACCAAGTGATGCCTTCAAGAGAAAGATGAGAGATGACTTAACATTCAGAAAAAGACTAAGGGAGGTGAGGGACATTCCTGCAGAAGAAATGAGAAATCCCGTCCCCTGCTAGGGAAGAATGGATTACCTTGCCCACCCCCACCCCCTACTCCCCACTCCCTAACCAAGAGATCTTTGCAAAGCAAGAAGTGGAGAGCATTTCCAGGCTGGAGAATTGGGCCCCTCAGGTCTGCATCCTGATAGAGCACCTGAGGCAATGTGGTGGTGGTGGCTCCTGTGGGTCACAGCTCAGGAAACCCCAGGGCTTAAGGACACACTGTCCCCAACTTCTGCACCCTAGAAGACCTGCTGCCTGACACCCACACGCCAGTGTCTGTGTTTCTGTGTCCTTGCTTTTCAGCTAGAAAGAGGGAGGCAGACAGATAGGAGGGCGACTCAGGTCTGTCTTCCCCCTCCACTGTCTGGATCCCTCTCTGCTCCCTCCCTCTCTGCTCTCTCTCTCCTCCTCTCCTGCCCCTCCCCTTGCCCCCACACTAGACACTACCTGCTAGCTCACTAGCTCAATTTTGCTTCTCCTTTCTCTCAAGGTCATCTTTCCATCTCTCAGGCTGAGCCAGCTTTTTGTCCCCAGCAGCTGCCATCTCACGGCCTCTCTCCTGTGGTTCCACCAGCCTGACAGAGGGTCTCCATCTGGAGAGAGGATGTGGCTTTTCCCCACCACTCCTGGGT